GAGCATATGTCTATAGGACTTTTTTTCTTAGTTTTTTACTCCTCTACACGCTCCCGAAGTTTTGCCATTTAATTTGGAAACACCCTGTATAATGTCGATATGAACTTTCGATTGTGATCAGTCCGAATAAAATGCAATTCCGAGATTTCAAGAATAAATGATCATTATATAATATATGTAATGACTTATAATTTTATAATTATAAGCCTATTATGAAATATTATTTTAATAATTTTAAAATTCTTTATTTAATTTCTATTTGTTATTTAAATATTTTTATAAAATTTAAAATTGTACAAAAAGATAATAAATATATAAAACTTTTATTATACGTACTTTTTAAATTTATATAATTAAATTTATAAAATTTCTGTATAAAATACTTTTGCGTTTTATTAAGTCTAACTTGACAAATTATATAATTGATTTCATTTATTTTTGAAGAATATTAATACACATGCTTACAAAAGCTTTCTTAGAGAATAGGATAGATATTTTTTTATATACTTGGCAATTATTTTTCTTTTTTATATTGTAAATAATTTTATATAACTATTTCTTTCATCTTTAAGATATCATGGCTGCAATGCAAACATCCTTCTGAAGGAAACAAACACGGAATATTCTCTTACATGAAGGATACATTTTTAAATAGAAGAGATTGGATCGAAACTGCAAATCCAAACATGACAGAAATCTTCGAGAAATATCCACGATTACTAGATTACAATGGAGAAATGGTATAGCTCATTGCGTTGTGTTATATAAAAACATCATGTAAACATTTAGTGTAATTTAATGTAAAAAAATTAATTTATTTTAGATTAATGTAGAGTTTCAATAAATGTTTCCTGGGTTAGAAGACAATTTTTTAACTCGATTTCCTGCGTACTATAGCCCTAGAATAATATCGTATGCTAAGTTGCATCGACGTGATGTGTACAACAATGTACGCTCTATAAATAATGGTAAAATATCATACTCATTTCTTATTATAAAAATATCTAATTGCTCTATTTACTAATACAAATTTACGTTTGTTGTTTTTACTTACAATTAGAACATATGAGAGCATTGATCATACTCGCAGAATTATTGCCAGATAGTAATGCCTTACAAAGAAAAGAGAACATGCCCGAAAGGGAAAAGGAAAGAAGAGAGTAAGAACGTTCACTTATGATAAATAATTGTTTGAAACGAGTTCTGAATTAATTTTAATTGAGAGCACGCATAATTCTCATTGTCTTGTATTTTATCTTTAGCAATATAAAGACGAAGAAATAAGATCGATGAATAAGATCGATGGAAGTGAAGCAGGACAAAGAGAAGTAGATTCCTGTTCAAAATTCGCTACTACTAATAATACTGATTTCCTGCTTCAAACTGTTCCGGTATATTTATATTTTATAACCTAATACTCATATATGTATGCTCAACATTTGCAATCTTGTTGTCAAGATTATTAATTTTATAATTCTGTTTTCAGGAAGGAAGTGATATACAACAATTTTTAAAATCTTTTGTATCCTCCGCACAAAACATGAATATTCAGCCATTCATCGTGTGTATACGGGGTTCAAAAAAAGATAAATATTTCGTTCAAGGGGACGGATGGCTTATAGAAGTTCCAGACAAAGCCGATCCCATAGTATCGTTCGACTTATTATTTAAATTATTTTATGTACTAAATTTGTGTTATCCTGCATCTTTAAACAACGTTTTTAATTTTATTGATTTCTATGTATTCAAAATTACAAAAAAAACGAAGAGTGTAATAGCATCAATGCATATTAATATTTCAAATTTTCCAATTACATAACATCATTATTTGTATATTTATATTGTTAATAAAAGAAGAAATATTTATCCTTATTTCGATTTTAATATAAGTATATCGGTTTTAATCCTCTTCACTCAGAAAGTTTCTTCAATTCAAACAAATATTTCTTTATTATACGATTAAAGAAAAAAATTCTTTGATTTGAACGTAATTTCTTTGATTTGAACATAATTTCTTTAAATTAATTAATTTTTTGTTTGATTTAAAAAAATTATGTTTAAATCAAAGAAATGATACTCAAATCAAAGAAATTTGTTCTTTAACCGTATAATAAAGAAACATTTCTTTAAATCGAAGAAACCTAAGCTTTCTTTGGGTGAATTTCATTTCACTGATTTAATCAGTGAAATTAACCGCGATTTAAGAACTTACTGATTTGTGCAGTGGCGAGACAAATGTCACTGATAGAATTAGTGAGTATTAACTGATTCGCAGTGGTATACTTATAACTGTAGCAATCAGTGACTATTAACTGCAAATCAGTGAGTTTTCACTGTTTCAAATTAAAAGAGCACCATACATGATAATCATGTCAGTGTATTCTTG